TTTTTGGTAACATAATAAACTTTTTTAATTAGCTTATTAACAGTCATAATTTTATCCTTTAATGTGATTTTTTGATGAGTAAGCATCAAAATAGATTTAAATATAAAGTATATGTCAATCTATCTAGTTTAATGTTAAATACTATTAATTTTTATTTATTTTTACCAAATTTGGTTAAAAATTAAATTAATAATATTATCTCTTTTGTAATTTTTAGATATAAAAAAATTTATTTTAATTGCCTATAAAAATATTAATAAATAGATAATAATAAAATAGAGTAAATACAAGTTTTGATTATAGTTTGATTAGATGTGAGAATTCATAAAAACTAAATAAATAAATTTCACAACTAATTCTTGCTTATAATTTTTTAAATCAACAAGATTAATGTTTAGATTCTCAGATAAATTAGAGATTAAAAAATATTAACTAAAACAATTTTTAGTTTTCAATCATTTTGCCAAAAATTTGAATGTTAAAAAAATTTTAGAAAAGAAATTTATAATTAATTTAATTAAAAAATTAAAATAAAATAAAACATTTATTTAAAAACCTTTTTATAAATAAAAATTAAATATACTACAAAAACTTTTAATGTTTATTTTTCTTAAAAATAGTATTAAATTTGAAATTGAGCGTTTTTGAAAAATCATTTAATAATAAAAAACATAAAATTGTTTTTTCTTGATGATCTAAAAAACAATATATGGCAACGGTTCGATTAGCGCTCTAAAATTAGTTGGCGCCCAAATTATATACAGCTAACGATAAAAAAAGCTATAAATTTTATAACTCAAATTAATTATAACTTATTCTTATTTTAAGATATAAGTTATTAATAAAGATTGTCGTAACCGAGGTTACTTACAATTGACACCAATAATTTTATTGGTTCTTAAAACAAATGTTTTAAGTTCTTTTTTTGTGTATATAAACAAAATATTCTAAAAAAGAGTATGAAAATTAGAAGTAAATTTATTACTAAATATTTTAGGCTTTTTAAAGCCACTAGCCGTGTGGGGCACGACAAAGATATAAATGTACTTTAAAAAAATCTTTTTACCATAATAAATTATACATAGTTGATCATTTAAATTACAGTATTAAATCTTACGACAAAAAAATATGGAAATTTTAATATATATTAAAAAATTAATCCTCCATACAACATACATATTTTTTTAAATGATAAACTCATGAAAATGCAAAATCGGTATTCAAATTTTTTGAAAGGTAAAATAATTACATTAAAGGAAATGAATTATACATAAGAAGAAATTTCATTTAAGTTAAATATACCTATTTATTAGCAGAAAATTTTTTGAGATTACAAAAAATTTATCGGTGATATAATTATTCAAATAACATTGAATTTACTTGATTTAAATTCAGTCATGCCGTCTAAAAAGTCTAAAGTTGTTCTTAAATATAAAATCAATAGATATAATTTAGCAAAAAATTTCTTTTTCTTAGAAGTGAGAATTGAGGTAATGCAATTTTCACTGATAAGTCTTTTTTACTTTTTAACGATTAAGGAGGGTTTAAAGTGTAGATAAATAATGAAGATGAAAAGTCTGTTTATGAAACACAAAATTTAGAATAAAAAAATTATGGTTTAAGGTTGTATGTCTTCACAGGATGCTGAAAAGATATTTTTTCTTAAAAAGAATATGGATACATCTTAGTATGTTAAAATTCTTCTATATAATTTTTAGAAAAGTTTTTAAAATTTTAGATTTGAAAAATTTAAGATCCTCTAAGATAGAAATCCAAAACATAAAAACAAAATTATGATGTAATTTTTTTATTTTCACATCATTAAACTTATAAAATGGACTGTATAATTACCGGTCTTCAATTTTATTTAGGAATTGTGTGTTATAATAAAGCATAAACTTAAGAGGTATGAAATTTAGGACATGTTCGGAAAATTTACTATAGTAAAATGAATTAACCATGGTAAAATTTAACCATGGTAAGTTTTTCGAACAAAACAAATTAATTTACGGGATAAAAAATTTACCATGGTTAAACAAAAAAATTATGTTCGAAAATTTTACCATAGTTTTTTTATTAAATTTTTAAAAAAATTACAACCCATGAATAAAAGATTAAAATTACTTATAATTGTATTTTTACTTTCTGATGATAACAAAAAATACATAATATGTAAATAATATATCAATGAAACTTATTTTCATTCTAGAAGTTGATCAGATGAAATTTTAACGAATGGTCTTGAATTATAAATCAACGAAAGTTTTAGATTTAACAGAGAATTGATTCTTTTACTCACAAAAATATTTTATACACATTAAAATACATCGTTAGTGGTTTCCAACATAAATTTCTTGTATTTTTATATTTTATAGGGAGAAAAATATCGTATAGAGATTTGGCATCAAAATTTAGAATAAAAGTTTCAACAGCACATTTATATGTTAAAGAAGCTATTGAAATAATATTAAAATTTAAAAATGATTACATTAAACTACCTAACATTGAAGAATTTGAATAATTATCAAATAAACTCATGTTATATTCTAATTTTCCTAATACTATATTAGTTATGAACGGTACACATATTCCAATAACTAATCCAACTAATAGTAGAGGAAGATTTATAAACAGAAAAGGACATGCAAGCATAAGTTTTTTAATAATGGCTGATGTAAATTTTAAAATAAGATATCTTTTTGGCGGCACATTTGGATCATCACACAATTCAACTGTGTTTAAGTTGTCAAAATTTAAAGAATGGTGTGATAATATTTTTATTGATACTAACTTAAACTATCATATATTGGGCGATGCAGCATATCCAAGTTTTGATTATATTAAAAAACTATTTAAAGGTATACTAAATGATTATCAGTCAAGATATAATGATTTACTAATACCACAGAGAGTGGTTGTTGAGAGGACAATCAGTTTTTTTTAAGGAAAATTTTAAAGATTTTGTCATGAAATAAAGAATAAAAAAATGAATTTACTTCTAAAATAATTTATACAGTTGTAATTATTTATAATTTGACAAAAATGATAGATTAAACAACACACAAGATCAATTAAATAATGAAATAATAAAGAAAAAAATAATAAGTTAATAAAATAAAATTTATTAGTCTTTAAAAAGTCTTTGTAAAATTCCTAGTATCTTATCATTACTCGTTTTTATTTCATCAACTATTCTTTCTAATCTAGTTACTCTTTCATCTATAGTCTGTGTTTCTTCTGGTGATTTAATTAATTTTTCTAATAAAAAAATCTTTTGTCAGGAATCTTCTCTGAAAAAATCCATCATTGTTGAAAAGTTGGATTTTGTCTTTTTCCCCTTTTTAATGGTATTATCGTTATCACACACACTTGCTAATTCACCTTTAAAATTCTCATCATCTTCAATAGTTAAAGAATCACGACAGTTTGGTGCAACCAATTCATATCCCTTTATTTCACTGTGTAAAATATCTTGATAAAATTTCCACCTCACTCCACCACCACCACTTTTGTGTGATTCTAAGTTAATCTTTCTAAATCTTTTTATTAAATTATTGTATTTTTCTCTGAATTCTGTAACACTAAATTTATTGTTAAACTCTGATGTAATTTCATTCCATACCAAAGTAATCTTGTG